AAGCTAATAATATCCTACGACTGACTTCGTCAATTAAAAAAAAAAAAAGAAAAAAAAAAAGAAAAAAAAAAAGAAAAAAAAAAAGAAAAAAAAAAAGACGTAATTGGCAATCAACAAGGTCGCCGGAGAGTCTCTGTACTTTCACCCCACCGGTGAGAACGACACGCGTCAACAACCAGAAATAAGTAATGACTGAAAAATGAATATGCTTTTTTATGAAAAAAAAAGAAAAAAAAGCTCGAAGCTAATTGACTACCTCTTCAGCCCCGTCCTTGCACACGGCTGTCATAACAAGACCATAGATGTTCTCTGAACCTTGCAACATTTCAATCGCAGTTGTTTCTCTCTCCACAACGCTGACAACGCTGACAAGGACAAATTCGCAATATTGCCCTCGATCTTCCTGTTGATGATGATGATGACGACGCAGCGCCACGAATTGGGACTGCAACCCCCTCCTCATGGAAATGGCAGTGCGCAGCAAATCCACACGTCATCAGCGCAACAAGTTAAACGCAATATTAACTTCTGCACCAACCACAATCACAGCGAAGAGGACCTCAGATCGCATCCTCCGCTCTGGCGGCTCTCTCTCTCTCTCGCTCTCTCTCTCTCTCTCTCTGTGTCTCTGTGTGGCGACAACCCCAGAATCTCACGGCATAATCACTCTAGCACTTTTCACAAGGAATCTGGCCGTAATTACCGCCAGATGCATCCAGGGAAATCCGGGTCAGTATGCCCTCGGTTTCGCCCTACACAACAAGAGTTCCAACGTCACAAAAGCCTTAACTGCCTCGGAGGGAGCCTCAGACCTGGCTGGACCCCATCATCAATTCTCCCCTAATAGCAGACCAAGTTCAAGCTGATTGCCATATACGCTGGCATATTCACATTGAGAGGACAGATCAGTGAGTAAGGGAGTGAGGGAGGGAGGGAGAGAGAGAGAGAAAATGTGACCGACTACTTGGTCGTCGGACTCTCACCCAACTTTCACCGATCTAATGGAATTCTTCCGCTGCCGACCTCCATACCGACCCGACGACGTCTGGGCAATCATATGAACTCCACTTTTATCAATTCAGGGTAGTATATATCACGCTTCCTCACGCCGACAATGACAGCAGTTTATTTCTTCAATCGATTTGAAGTCTACAGCGATTTGAACTCACGATCTGCTCAGCGACAATTACATATGCTCTCAATCGATTTGAAATTTGAAGAGACAGCGATGGCGGCCAAGGCCACGCTCCATCCACAGACAGAAATCCTGAACAACCATACCTGTCTCGATAAGGAAAGAAGGCGTAGACTATACTCCAGTGACGCACCTGTCTCGATCAGGAAAGAAGGCTGATCAGGGAATTCGCCGACTGCGAGAGATATAATTGATATTCCATGTGCTGACGGCTAGAAAGAGAGATTCCATGTGCTCGCCAATTCCCACCACACTTGTCCCGAATTCTCCTGGCCTCAATCACAGGCGACTTGGTCGAGACTGGTCCATGTCCCCATTGGCCACGTGGCCTGACAAGGCGGCGATAACCTCAAGTCGAGTGGTCCACGATGTCCCGATGATCCCCCCACATGGCCTGACAACGCGATAACCTCAAACCGAGTGGTCCATGTCCCGATCCCCACACACGGCCTGACAACGCGATACCCTCAAGACGAGCAGTCCATGTCCCGATCCCAACATTACCTGATAAAAGTGATAACCTGAAGACCAGTGATCCATCTCCCGATGATCCCCAGACGGCCTGTGACAATCAGCACACGTGGTCCATGTCCCGATGATCCCCACACACGGCCTGACAAGGCGATAACCTCAAGCCGAGTGGCCCACCATGTCCTGATCCCCCACACAGGAACTGATCACCTCAAGACGAGTTGTCCATGCCCCGATTCCCACACACGGCCTGACAAAGTGATACCCTCAAGACGAGTGGTCCATGTCCCGATTCCCACACACGGCCTGTCAAAGTGATACCCTCAAGACGAGTGGTCCGTGTCCCGATCCCCACACGGCCTGTCAAAGTAGTAACCTATAGACAATTGTTCCATACCCCGATCCCCACATGCCCTGACAACGTGACAACCTCAAGACGAGTTGGAGCACAAACGCCAAAGCGTTCTAGATCAGCCTCGACCATGACACGTCAGCAAGTGACACGTCAGCAAGTGACGCGTCAGCAAGTGACACGTCGTCGGCGGTGGACCACCGCCTATCGTCAAAAGACACGTCAGCAAAAGACACATCCGCAACAAAATTGCGGAGCTTTGAAAGAGGTGTGGCCAAACGGTAAACGAGAAAGGTCAGCGCTACCTTCTTCCCCCGAATAAAACGAACGGTCATTTCTGTTGCATCTGGACTAAAAGTGAAGCAAAATGCATTTTTGTAATGACAACACGTTATATCCGTGGAAGACGCTAGTCCACGCAGTCGGGAGAGATGCATCAGCCCGTGTTCTGTACCGCTGTTATATTAGTGATCGAGGACCGAAATGGAGACACGTCAGCAGTGGACTCGGAACAGACACGTCAGCAGTGGACTCGGAACAGACAAACAGACACGTCAGCAGTGGACTCGGAACAGACACGTCAGCAATGGATGCGGAAGAGACACGTCAGCAGTGGACTCGGAAGAGACACGTCAGCAGTGGACTCGGAAGAGACACGTCAGCAGTGGACTACTCGGAAGAGACACGTCAGCAGTGGAGAGAGACGTCACCAGTGCAGAGAGAGGTGAGAGATGAAGAGAGACCGTCCAGGATGAAGAGGGAGTACCCTCCCGCAGTGGAACATCGAGATCTCAGGGTGAAATATTAAATGATTGCAAAAGAAAAAGAAGGAAAAAAAAAAAAAAAGAAGCACGGTTCGAGGACAATTCTCATAATAGAACTTTCTTTGACGGAATCTTACCGTAAATACGATCAGATACGTCGACGAAAGTCCCAGGTATGAGTCTCTCTTCAAACTGAAAACGCGTCGTCAATTCAGATACATGGAACTGAAAATCGCCAGTACAATTTTCATCCAATAATAAAAATAAAAAATTGCGCAAATACCCTTCCTCCTACAGCGAGTCCGCCGTTTGTAAAGAGTGTTGTTATGTGGGCGGATTAAGAAGAAGAAAAAACGGGTCGGGATACCAGCACGTGCGAATCGAATCCGGATGGCATCGAATGGTAAATAATCAAGGATGAATTTCTGTCCAAACGGGTCGGGATACCAGCGCGCACTGCGATTGGCCAAAAATAGATATGTGGCGGAATTTTAATTAAAAAAAAAAAAAAAAAACACGCAAACCGGACTCGAACACGAGACCGTGCGGATCTCGGTTGACAGATCGAATCCAGATCACATCGAACGGTAAAAAATGAAGGATGAGTTTCTGCCCAAAGATGGATTTCCTGTCCAAACGAGTCGGGATACCAGCACACATTAAACTGACCAAAGCGAATCACTATGTGCCGAAATAACAAAAAACGCGCAAGGTATTCATACAAAGAGTTCATCAAAACAGGAAAGAAAAAAGCAAAAAAAAAAAAAAAGAACGCGCAAACCGGATTCGAACTCGAAACCGTGCAAATCTGGTCGGCAGATCGAGTCCTCGCATCATAGATCGGAAACTAAATAATAATAATCAAAGATTATCTTCTGTCCAAACGAGTCGGGATATCAGCCACTCATTCCACGCAGCAACATCAAAACGCCAGGTACATCCACATCTGGTGTCAAGCCCATCCCGACAGACCTGAGTCTCTCCTCGTCCTAGTTCTTTTTTGCTTCACGCCCTCCCTCTCTCTCTCTCTCTGTCTCTCTCTCTCTCGCGCGCGCGATTCCCTGGCCTTCTCGACCCAGGTCTGTATCTTCTCTTCCTTCCCAATTCAAGCGGTATACCGATCTCGCTCACCATCTCTCTCCATGTCGCGATCTGTATGCCCTTTTTTCAAGTGAAGACTGCGTCGGCTTCCTCCTTTTTCACTCTTTAGCGAGTCGTCTCTCTCGCCTATTTGCAAATCTGTCCTTCCCTCTTGCTCAATAAAATCAGCTGACGAGATATTTGCAGCGGCTCCTATTTTAATTAATTAATTAATTCTTAAAACCCTTGACCCATTTCTGCGGCACGACGTATACAAGGGAAATTTCCCGCCAGATACAGCCAAAATGAGGGTGCGTTCTGTTCGGGGGAAGACGTAGTTTCTACGCTTGGCCGCGCAGAAGGAAAGCAATCCACACCGTCAGATTAGCGGCCTTGCCGCGCCACTGTCGCGAACCCAAAAAAAAAAGTCGAGTGCATAATACTCAGAAAGTCGCCAGATGCATCCGATGCATCCGATATGACCTTCAAACAGCACAGAACTTGGTAATCTGCAAATGGAAGCACTGTCAAGAAGAACACAGCCAATCAGAAAAAAGAAAAAAGAAAAAAATCGTCAGAATAATTACTTTTTTTATTTTTTTATTTTTTTGGAATGGTCCGATGAACCACGGATCAGATATTAAACTGATCAGGGCCGAGGTCCCACTAGCAAAGAGGATCGGATCGAATGCCTGAATCTGGATGTGTTTTATGCAGAGATGCAGAAAAGCAGTTCAATCTCGATTTCCTGCACCTCTCTACAAACACGTCCAGATTCAGGCGTTCGATCCGATCCTCTTTGCTAGTGGGACCACCCCCTAGAACAGATACAACATTTGATCTTATAGCCAAAAAAAAAAAAAAAAAAAAAACTTTGCAAAAATTCGATTRAAAAAAAAAAAAAAAAAAAAAAAAAAAGAATACCAACGAGCCTAGCTCACTCGAGAAC